ACGAACAGATGGTCGGACATTCTCCTTCAGGATCTTTTGGAAGATAGCAGAATTCATAGTTCCATTTATCACAGCAAGTCTTCCAGGTCCTGACGCAGCAAAACAGCCCGAGACCATCACACTACCACCACCATATTTTACTMTTGGTATAATGTTCTTTTTCTGAAATGCAGTGTTCTTTTTACGCCAGATGTAATGGGACACACACCTTCCAAAGAGTTCCACTTTTGTCTCATCGGTCAACAGAATGTTTTCCCAAAAGTCTTGGGGATCATCAAGATGCGTTTTGGAAAAAAATTGAGACGAGCTTTAATYTTCTTTTTGCTCAGCAGTGGTTTTCTTCTTGGAACTCTGCCATGCAGGCCATTTTTGCCCAGTCTTTTTCTGATGGTGGAGGCATGAACGCTGACCTTAACTGAGGCAAGTGAGGCCTGCGGTTCTTTGGACGTTGTTCTGGGGTCTTTTGTGACCTCTTGGATGAGTCGTCGCTGCGCTCTTGGGGTAATTTTGGGCGGCCGGCCACTCCTGGGAAGGTTCACCACTGTTCCATGTCTTCGCCATTTGTGGATAATAGCTCTCACAGTGGTTCGCTGGATTCCCAAATCTTTGGAAATGGCTTTATAACCCTTTCCAGACTGATAGATCTTAATTACTGGCTTTCTCAATTGTTCCTGAATTTCTTTGGATCTCGGCATGATGTATAGCTTTTAAGGATCTTTTGGTGGACTTCAGTGTCAGGCAGCTCCTATTTAAGTGATGTCTTGGTTGAAAACAGGTGTGGCAATAATCAGGCCTGGGTGTGGCTAGAGAAATTGAACTCGGGTGTTAAAAACCACAGTTATAGTATATTTTAATAAGGGGGCAATCACTTTTTCACACAGGGTCATGATGGTTTGGATTTTTTTTCTCCTTTAATAATAAACACCTTCATTTACAAATTGCATTTTGTGTTTACTTGTGTTGTCCTTGAATATTGTTTAAATTGGTTTGATGTTCCGAAACACTTAAGTGTGACAAACATGCAAAAAAACAGCAAATGAGGAGGGGGCAAACACTTTTTCACATCACTGTATATGTAAACGGTTCAATAACATTACCTATTATTTCCTTCACAAACATCATATCCATGTCCACCCAGTTTTTTGATCTTTTGTCAGCAAGATATTTTACGTTTCTCCTTTTCAGTTCCATTAAGAAAAATACTGTTGGTACAATCCATAACTTTATGACTCACATTATCTACTTTTGGTATTTTTTTTCTCCAAGACTTGGGCCAAAATTCACAAAATAATGCTTAAATCAATTTACAATATCATTCTGATCATAGATTTCGTTATCATCCTTGACAAAGTGTGGAACACATGATTTTTCTTTATTTTTCAGAACACTATTCATTATTTGCCATGTTGTTTCCATATCGCTTTTACTTTTGTCTAATAAATCACTGTAATATTCCTACTTATGTTTTCTTATAATCCATTCCAGCTTGTTTTTATACTTCTTGTATTTGTCTTCTGATTCTTTTGTTCTCAATTTCAAGAAGCATGATAACAGGTAATTTTTTTCAAGCATTTCTTAAGCCTTTTTGTCATCCACGGTTTGTCAACAATGTTTCTCCTTGTATACTTTTTTGCCCACAATTACTAAAATATTCATAAACACCTCATATGCTCTGTTTACATCATCAACATACACATCTTTCCATTTTTGTTTTTTAAATTCATCTTTTAATTTATCATTTAAAGCTTTTTTATGTGTTTATTTATTTCTTTATATCAACATTTGTATTGCATTGATCATTTCTATAAATTGTGAAAATTGGTAAATAATCACTTAAATCTGTTGTAAAATACCACCTATCACCTCTCCATTAGTTATATTTGTAAAAATGTTATCCGTTGTTGTAGCACTATGAGTTGTGATTCTTGAAGGTTTCAATATCAATGGATAAAGATTTAAATTATACAAAGATTTTATAAATGAACTAATATTATTTGAGTCTGTTTTATTTCCCAGGTCAATATTATAGATACAGTAGGTTCCCTCTACACTAGATAATACAGCTGCATAACAGATATTTACTTTGTTTTATGTCATCTTTAACTGCCAAGTGTGGTCCTCACCCTCACTTGTCATTTGGGGGTGGCACCAGGGGTGGCCAATTAAGTCCCAGGGTTAGCACTTGCCCCCCTGGCCACCATTGTGGCCCCGCCCCTGGGTTGTACATGCATACAATGACATGTATTACTGCAACGCTGCAGTCACACACAGCACATGTTCACCACTCACAACATCTGCAGCACTTTACACGTGACTACATGGACTGACAAACATTTCCATGTTAATATAACATGTAAAACAGATTTTTCTGTATGTGGCGTACATGTATTGTTTTTTTTTCTTGTTTTGTTTTTTTTTTTCTGTGAGGGAGACCAAAGATGCCATGCAAATGTCCTGATATCGATATTAAAAAGTTACAAAATCAGACAATTCAAGCTAACCCTGAGAGAAACAGTTGATGTGACTCACCTCCACTTTGTATGTGGGGTCAGAGGGGATGGGCAGTAGAAGATCACGCGAGATGATCGCATTGTTCTCATTTCTGACCTTCCCACCGTTTCTTGTTGAATGAAAAAAGTGACATTTTATAATCTTTTGAAAAATAGATTCCTCTCTTGTTCTGACAAATAGCATTATCTCGTTTGGAACCAGGCATTATCTTTGGTTGATATTTTTATGAACTAGTGTTACAGTTTGAACAGAAATAAAAGCCCTGGAGAGCAAATAAACTTACTTGACGAAGTAGCTGATTATTCCTCCTAAAGAGCCATCTGGTGGTTGAACATGACTTCCACTGATACAAACAGCACACCTGAGCTGGGACAAACATTCAAAGTCATGAAACAAATGCCACTCAAATGTTCAGCCAAGAGAGATTCATTTAACCTTTATAACTTTGGAATCGACGGCCATTCTCAGGGTGATACTGGTGCCCATTGACAGACCCAACATGGCGATTCTGCTGCTGAGGACCTGAGGATGCTGGGACAGGACTCTGTAGGCCGTCTACAGGAGGAGAACATGTTACAGCTACGACTGGTTTCTGTTCTGGTGTCTCATCTGTGTCACAGATCAAGGACTCAAGGAGTCATTTTCAAGACAAGACAGTACAGTATGATTTACAACATTTAAAACAATTAAAAACAACACAGTGTGATCATCATATAATAATTTTTCTTACCTTGAACAACTCTGAAAGTCATTTATTTGATAAATATTACACACATATCTATCCAAGAGGAAGTGTTTCTTAACTCCAAGAGCTTCAGTGACCTCAAAACAACTTTGTGTCTTATTCTAGTTTTAACACACCAGTTCATCTTTTTAAATATCTGCATGTGAATCAAATGTGATCAAAAACTGATCCAGTCCAACTTGTTTAACAAATGCTTGTAATGCAGTCACACTAACAGAACATCGTTGAGATTATCTACTCGTTTAAGGAAGTAGAGAAAATTTCAAATTTTCAAATTATGTTTTAAGGTAGAAATTCACTCAAAATAGAATATTAAGTAATATTAAGTATGTTTAGGCTGGACCAATAAAGTTCAGACAGCTTCTTCAGTCACTGATTACATTACAGCAGGTGAATCAGTGTCAGGAAAGATGATTCTCAGACCAAGTTTTTGTATTTTTACTCACTCACAGACACTCTTAGTTTTCTGTTATAGTCCAGTGATTATGTCAACAAATATCCTTCAGCTGCAACTTATTTGATGGCTAAAAAGGCCAATTCCTGAGCCAAAAATTTTATTGAAGATGGGGCATATAGTTAGGCCTTTCTCTATTTGGACACTGACACAAATTTTGTTTGTTACCTGTTTACTGAAACATATTCAAGTTATAGTTATATTATGAACATAAATTTCAAACTTTCAGCCTTTATTTGACGGTATCCACATTACAATTGGAGAAAGTATTCAGCTCTTTAACTCTTTGACTCAAAGGCTATTTCATGGGCAGGTGGGGACAATTCCTTCATTATGTCTTTCTTAATGAAGCAGATAAAAGGCCCGGAGTTCGATTTCAGGTGTGGTGCTTGCATTTGGAAGATTTTCCCAAGAAAAAAACATGCAGTCAAAGGAGCTCTCCATCCTTAAGGATTAGCAAAATCTACAGTTTGGTACATCCTCAGAGAGAAAGAAAGAAAGCACTGGTGAACTCATCAATGCAAAAAGACCTGGAAGCCCACAAAAGACAACAGTGGTGGATGATGGCAGATAAGAATAATACAATACAAAATCTCTATGGTGAAGAGAAACCCCCTTCATAACAGCCAACCAAGTGAACAACACTCTCCAGGATGTATCCAGTGGTGGCTGGTCAATAGGGGGCGCTGGTTCGTGCTACAGCTTCCCATAGACAACTCATTTGAAGATTTTGGACATGCGCAGTAAGTCCTCAATGCAAAAGTATAGGATTGCCTGGGTTCGCAGCAGACCTGCGAACACAGGCTGACCTCTGAAAGCACACCAGCAGTGGGTGGGTCCACCTGTGATGACGAGTCGATGTCAGCCATGTTCAGTACGGAACGGCAGCCAGGAAGAAGCAAACTTAGTAAGCTTATGGAGAAGCTAACAACTCAGCTCTCATAGCAACCTTTTTGATGAGAACCCAGGAGAAGGTTAAACCAAAAGAACCTGGACATGATCAGATGGACATGAAGAGCAGCAGACAAAAGACAGAGGGAAGAGTTTACACTCCCATCATTTTACAAGACTGGATTATAAACAAGGCTAAGCTAACTGCTAGTAGCGAGGCTAATGCTCCGTTTCTGCCTTGTTTTTCAAGCGTGATCTGATTCAGCATGGTTTAAAATGGGTAAGAGATAAGCTAAAATACTTTTGTAATGCTTGTTAATCATAGTATATTATATCACTGGTGAACACAACTTAAAATAGTATATTTTATGATGTAAATTATGTTTTGACAGATATTAGAAGATATTTTCTTCTTTCTGCTGCCTTTCATTTATTTATCTTTTTTCTTCTGCTGTGTATAGAGTTTATTTTGTTTTATAATTGAATTAATACATCTTAAAACAAAAAAAAAACATACTGTAATAGAGGTGCAACAAATTGCTGCTATTAAATAACATCAATTGTTTTCTATATTTTAAATATTAGAAAGCTCACTTGAAGCCATCTTCATTTTGAATTAAATATGTGCATTTATTTTTTTAGGTGAGCCATTCACAAAACATCTGATCAGAGCTACACTGCTGCAGACAGGTTCCTGCAGGACAGTTCTCTGAAGCAGTTCTGAAGACCATGGAGGCTCACCCAGTGCTGAACAGGACCAAGAAGTCTGATCTAGTCCAGGAGCTGCAGTGGTGATGTGGCTCTGTACCAGCTGCTCTTCATGGAGAACAATCTGCAGGGCACCTTCAGAGACTGTGTCTCTGCTGAAGATTCTCATCACATCTCCTCTGACCACAGCTGAATCCGAGAGGAGCTTCAACACTGAAGACAATCTAGACTTTCCTCAGGTACACAACATCACCATGGAGGTGATGAAGGTATTTGCTTCTCAGTAACAGAAGAGCAAAATTAATATACGTAATATAAAATAAAACACTACAGGACATTGTAATTCTGTTTTATTATTTTCATTTATTTAATAAATACACTGCCGTTAAACAACTTTGTGAATAATTTTTGAGATATGCCTATTTTGGAGATGTAGCACCCCCTGGAGAAAAATCCACCAGCCGCCACTGGATGTATCAATATCCAAATCTACCATAAAGAGAAGACTGTATGAAAGTAAATACAGAGGGTTCACTGCACGGTGCAAGACACTCATAAGCATCAAGAATAAAAAGGCCAGACTGGACTTTGCTCAAAATTTTTTTTTAAAGAGCCATCACTGTTCTGGAAGAACATTCTTTGGACAGGTGAAACCAAGACTAACCTCTACCAGAATGATGGAAAGGAAAGAAAACAGTATGGTGAAGGCGTGGTGCAGCTCATGATCCAAAGCTCCACATCATCTGTAAAACATGGCAGACGCAGTTTGATGGCTTGAACACACATGTCTGCCCATGGCACTGGGTCACTAGTGTTTACTGATGATGTGACAACAGGACAGAAGCAGCCAGATGAATTCTGAGGTATTCAGAGACAAACTCCTCAACCCAGGAGCTTATTACTCACAGCAGCTTGTGATGTCCATGAGTTCAAGACTTCAGGCCGTCATTGCCAACAAAAGCTTTTTAATCAAGTATGAGAAATGAACATTTTATTTACAATTATTTAATCTGTCTAATTTCTTTTGTGCAACTGAAATGAAGGGATTGTGTTTAAAAGATGCTTTAGTTTCGCACATTTCTACGCAAACTGTGTTCAACCCACTGAATTAAGCCTGAGAGTCTGAACTTCAATTATATTTGAAATGGTTTGTTCAAAATTCATTGCAATAATGTCCAGAACCAAAATTAGGAAAATGTTGTCTCTGTCTAAATAGATATGGACCTAACTGTATGTGAGTTGTTGTAGTGGCGATGGTACTGGCATTAGGGGAATCTGTGTTTCAATTGTTTTTTTTTTCACTTTGTTCCAGCTGTCCTGTTCTCCTCCAGCTTCTTAGTGCCTTCAAAGCAACGCTGCTGCCAAGAAACAGAAACAGGATCACAAGTCCAAACCAGTGCAGTTGGTGCTGCATAAGCGTGGCCTTGACTTTTCTGTAATTAGTTTTTGAAAGTATCTTACTAGGAGGCACACACTCATGCAACGTTTATCCCACGTGAAAGTAGGCCTGTCACGATAACAAATTTTGCTGGGCGATTAATTGTCTCAAAATTTATTGCGATAAACGATAATATTGCCTGGTGACCGTTTTACAACTAATAATTATAAAAGCATAATATGTAAGTGTAATAAATCAATAAACTTTAATTTTTAAAAGAATGTTTAACAAAGTGGACTCTCAGTCTCTAACAAAAAATGCACTTGAATAAAAATAAAATAAAACAAAGAACAACAAAATGTAAATTAAACACCACACACAACTAAGACAGTAAATAAACAATATTAAAGAGCAGCATCTCTTTAGAGATGAAACAAACTACACAGCCTGGTGAGGACCCACTGTTTCTTATGGGGACATAAGCCCAGTTCACATCCCATGTAAAGTGTAGGCTAGGTTTAGGGTCAAATGGTAATAGAAAATACTGGTAAATGAATGAAAGTCAATGCAAAGTCCCCATAAGGATAGAAGAACAAACGTGTCTGTGTGTGTGAGGAGGGGACAGTCAGAGCGCTGCGGGGAGGAAATCAGACAGTTCAGAGTTTTCCTCAGGAGTTTCTGGGACAGCTACAGGCTTTTTTTTTTTTTTTTGGGTGTTTAGTTAAAACACAGATCTTGCGTTTAAGTTTCCTGTTATTTTTGGGAGCTACAGGTAAAGTCTTGACGAGTTTGTTGCGGGTCTGAGGGAGTTTCAGCCCCCCCACCCCTCCTCTCTCTCTCTCTCTCTCTCTCTCTCTCTCTCTCTCTCTCTCTCTCTCTGTCTCTCCCTCCCTCCGCAGCAAAATCCAGGCTCTAGTGCCCCGACACTTGCTGCAGCCCCGTTCTGCTTTGAAACGTTTATTTAGCAACGAGCTCTCATGCTAAAGCGGGAGTTGACTCCTCCCACACTAAGAAAACAGGAGGGGAGGGGTCAGCTGCAGGAGCTCATCACAGGAGCTCATCCTGTGCAGCGGAGCACAGAGAGGGAGAGACACGAAGTAAACAAACAAGCAGGAAAATGAAACTTATCGGCCCCTTTTTTTTTACTGACCTCAAAAAAAGTTATCGTGCAATTAATTGATTTATTGACTATCACGACAGGCCTACGTGAAAGCACTCTAGGACAACATTTAGAGAAGCAAAATCTTTCAGGCCTGTCAGCTTAACCTCTTTTCTGCTGAAAGAAATTGAGAGGATGATAGATTTACATGTTAAGATATGGAATTTAAATGATATCTCATTTAAGTCCTAAACAACATGCATATCAGGCAGGTCTTTCTACAGAAACAACCTTGTGTGATGTTTTGCGAATAGAACGCAGTCTGGCACTGTGCTTGGCTGCTTCTTGAACATACAGGGGGCATTTGACAATGTACCTGTAGAAGCTATAAAGATAGCATTTGTCAACAAAGGTTTTGATAAGACAACGAGCTGGACTAATTTTCATGCTTTGCACAAGGAAAGCATCTTCCACTCTGGGGGACTGTTGGATAGCCATTAACCTCAGAAGGGGCTGTCCACAGGGAGGAGTAATCTCGCCCCTGGGTTGGCTCCTGGTTGTCGACACCCTACTAAATTCCCCTCTTCACGGGCGTGCCTGTACGCTGTTCTCCTCCTTTCAGCCTTGGCCAAATGTATCTCCATTTCTGGTTCCAACCACGCTTCCAAAACTACCTTTGAGGTGATTAGGCGGATGACAATGAATATTGCGCACTTACAATTTGGACGTCAGCAAACTTCTACCCGTGCATTGGCTGAGCCAAGACAGAACTTGCAAACCCTTCCAGCAAACTCTTCCTTGAGAGAGGTGAAGGAGATGAGTGCATATAGCTTGAGCTGGACAGAGCGGTCTAACATGATCAAAAAAAAGTCAGACTACCGGACAATAAAACCGCAATGGCTTTTTTTTCCCCCTGGCTGAAGCCATTGTGCTGATGAACCACCCACAATCACACTCAGTCAGGGACACACTGACATGGAGACACACACACCTGAGCAGAATTGAACAGACATGAACTGGATAGAGAGAGACAAGAAATATGTTGATCAGAATACCAGTTCCATCAGATTTACCTCAAAGTAGTCGTTGCCCACATGTTTCCCAGTTTCCATGGTAAATTTACAGGTCATGTAATCAATGGTCATGGAGGCGATTCCATGAGAAGCCAACAGAGCTGCTCGGTACTCCACCAACTGTCCTCCTATACCCCACAGGTCCAGGAGACCAGGAAAAGGTCCCGGGCCTTCAGGTGAGACAGTAACAAAAACAATCATTATATTTACAGGAGACAATTTTACCACATCAATTACATCAGTCAGCCAAAACTTTATTTATATAGCACTTTACAAGGCAACCAGTGTTGCACTGCAAAGTAAAAATACAGTAGGATAAAATCATATAAGTGATAACACACACACAAAATAAGAACAAAACAAAAAGAAAAGAGATTGGCCTACTGCATGTGCTCCTTGGCGTTAAAAGCCATACCAAAAAGATACGTTTTTAAAATAGATTAAAATCCATTATGAGATCTGGCAGACCTCATAGAAAGCAGGAAACTGTTCCCGAGTTTAGGAGCTACAGCTAAGAAGGCTCTGTCCCCCCTCAATCGAGTCTTAGGAACCACAAAGAGCATCTGAACTTTGACAGTCTGAGTCCAAGGAGCTGACAACCCTGTTGAATCCTATCAGTAGGATCAGTAGTAGTATTTTTTTAGACAAAAAAGTTTAGCTCATCCATCTTTAACATCCTTTAAACAATTCCTCAGATTCTCCATACATTGAGGTCCACCAGGTAAATAAATCCAGTATGAATACATCAACAGCAGCTCACAGCTGTGAAAAATAAAACTGAAGTCATTCAGAAATGTTAAAGTAAAGAATATTTGGTTTGTGATAATATTGATGACACTGGTTAAAAAGCTTACCTAATCTGTAATCTGCCATTGCAAACCGGTACGTTTCCTGGCAGAATGAAAACAGCCAAAGACAAACCTCTTTATAAATCTGGCAAAAATAAAAAAAATAAAAAAAACTACAAGCCTATCCTTATTACCTCAGTTTTCAAAAATACTTCAAAAAATTGTGTAACAGCCAATAAGAAAAAATTATAGACAAACATATGCTCTATACTGAGTGTCAGTGTGGGTTAAGATCAAACAGATCAACATCATTGGCAGTTTTAGACTCAATAGAACTCAAAAGAATTGATAACTAATGATAAAGGGATGGGATTTAATAAGTATGTACTTCTTCCACGACTTTTCTATGTGTGAGCTATACAAAAAGTATAGCAATGCTTGTGCACTTTTTAATTTAAATTGTTTTGTCTCTTTTGTGTTTTGCTTAAAAAGATTAGTTACTGCTTTTAAATTTAGGTTTTACAGCATAAAAAAAATTGGCCTTGATAAAAATAATGGTACCCCAAAACTAATCTGTCCACAGGGACATGTTAAACCTAGGTGTGTCCAGTAATCAGCATCTCTGGTCCCTTCAGTCTGTAATCAGACTGTCTGTTTAAAGGCTGACAGGTAGTCACAGGCCTGTTTGGTATCATGGTTTGTAACACACTGAACATGGAGCACAGACAGCTGAGGACTCAGTGTCTCAGTTAAGGACAGTGTCTCAGTTATTGACATCATGTTAACAGTAAATACTACTGTCTCCAAGCAGTTTGATATTCTTATAACTAAAGCTGCTCCGATTATTCAGAAGGATTACAGAAGTGAAGACAAACTTCCTGGACATGTCCACAAAAGGACAACTGATGACAAACTGAAAAGACAGATAATGCAAATGATCGTCATCATCATCATTTATTTATAAAGCACAATAAAAACCAAAGTGCTGTACAGGTGCATAAAATAAAAACAATGAACAAAGTACAGTAATAAAATGAACAATAAAATCAAACAAAACAGCAAAGGCTGGCCTAATAATCCTGCTCTTCAGACTCAAATGCNATTTTCACCAGTCATTTTCTGTTCATGTATTTTTACTTTTACTTTGTTAGTTTTTTTCCCAAGTACTTCATAAACTTCTGAGTAACTCTAGTAAAAACCTTTACAGACACTGAACAGAAATCTGGAGTGGTAGTAGCTGAGAGTGAGCCCTAACTTATCCTCTGAGCACAACTTCAGTGTCCTGTCTGTTTTATAAAGAAACCTTTGATCAAACTGCAGCTGGTAAACATTTCAGCTCAACTCTAATCAAGATGGCCGCCGCAGCAGACTGCCTGTAAGAACGTGAAGCAGCTGCTGAGTTTGAATGAGGAGTGGTAGTAGCTGACAGTCATCCACAGCACTGAGCTCCTACATGTTGTGGTTTCACTGCTGTGGACACACAACAGCAGGGACGTCCTTCTGACAACGTTTGGAGGACGGGGTGGGGGTCTCACTGACAACCAGGGAGGACCTTGTTGCTATGGCAACTAATGAGCCCCACTGGAAAAGGGTCAAACATGTCGGAGACGAGGAACAGACGCTGAAACTGAAGCAGAAACATGAAGCCTCTCTGCAGAGCTGGTTTGTTTTCTACTGGTTTTTAAAAACACCAGCATCAAGTCAACAAAGATGTGATTATTCTGTGGTTAGTTGTGTGGTTAGTTGTGTGGTTAGTTGTGTGGTTATTTGTGTGTTTATTCTGTGATTATTTGTGTGTTTATTTGTGTGTTTGTGTGATTACATTGATGATTTTGTGTACAGCCTGGTCTGAGTGTCCATCAAAGATGGTGTTAAAGTTTTGAAGTTAACACAACTAAACCTGATGAGTTTCATCTTTGTGTAAAAGAACAGTTTAACACAACAGGTTTCCTCACACATTCCTGGTAAAATGAACTGATTCAGGTTGTGAGTGTGAGAACCAGCTGTGACGACATGTTGTTGTTGTTSTGTGCAGCGTGCACASAACAACATGTTGTTSTGTGCAGCGTGCACGAGGCCATCTTGTAAATTATCTGTGGTTTACTTCCCCTAAAGCACTAACAGGAGAACTAAAGTCCTGATTAGTGCTTTAGGGCTTTTGRTGATTTTAAAATGTWTTAGTGGATTAGCACTTGGTAAATTTAGAAGCACTAACTGAGGTCTATAAATGTTTTTGATCAACACTAAAGTTAAGAGCTGAGGGTGAAAACTGTCACATTTTGTTTATGTTGTGTGTCACTGATCCACAGGTGACATGTTAACAACACACAAACACAAACACAGCTGTGTAGTCACCGACAGACAACACGTGACTCATGTCTGTTGAACAACGGTCATGGGTTGACTGGCTTCTTTTAGTGCTTTACAATTAGGGGACCTAAATATTAGTGTTTTAGGGCTASTGGAGCTGATTGTTAGATCAGTGCTGCCCACCTCTGTGTATTAGCTACAGAAAGGCCTGGAGTTGAACCCAAGACCTCTAACCCACTGCTCCAGGGCACTGCTCCTCCTGTTTTCTCACACAAACATGTCAGGAGGAGGAGACAGACCAACCACGTCTGGATCAACAGGCTTTAAGAGGAGGAGATAAGGAGGCCACAGGAAGAGGAGTCAGGAGAACTTGGAGCAGATCTCACAGGACTGACCAGGACTGACCAGGACTGACCAGAACCTCGTCTGTCAGAACTCGTCTGCAGATGGTTCAATCCCACAGGTGCTGAGAGGACACACACACACACACACACACACACACACGCACATGGGTGTGAGTCCACTTTCACACTGTCTCACACCATCAGAAGAGCTGGGTTCTCCTTCCAGCCTCCNCCTTGGTGGTGAAGGCATTCCTCAAGTAAGCTCCCCCGGAGACTATGGCCAGCTGCCTTCCATCTCCAATCAGCTCCAGAAACACCTGAGCCTGAAACACACCCACACACACAGAGAGAGAGAAAGAGACCAGGGCCTGGGGTCGTAACATTCAAAATAAAACAGTTCAGCTGAGCTGATTTCCTGAGGGAGTTTCTGACGTCAGCATCTCTTGGTGCATGATGTTACAGATAATAAATAAAATATCTGCAGGTTTTCTTGTTCAGGTTTAATAAAAAGAAACGATCCTTTGATGAGCCGTGAACAGCAGGCTGAGGTCTTTGTTTGTGTTTTTATCTGTCTGGACTGTGTTAGCAAAATATCTCATGAACTGCTTCCATTTAACAAAGCTTTTAGAAAGTAACCATCTACTGATACGTTGTTGGAGTCAACATGACTGCAGCTCCACACTGAAGTAATTCTACAGCTTTATACTAACTGAGTACATTTACTTCTTTACAGTACTTAGTTTTGTTGAGGATTTGTAATTTTACCAATACTTTTTTTAAAAAGCTACTTGTACTTTATTTATTTATATTTTAATGCTGAAAATGATAGTTTTACTTCTTTACTTTAAAATGAAACAGCTGGTTATTTATTACAAATTAAAAGTGTTTGAACTCATCATTAAAGATGTTTCTGCTGTAAAAAATGAAGAGTTGAATTTACTGAACAAAGTCAGCTGGTTCCACTGAACAAATAACAAATATTACTGGATTTACTCAACCTGACTTAGTGGAACCAGTTTGGTTCAGTAAATTCAGTTTATTTCTTAGAGAGTGTAAAAAAACTTTTACTTTAGTAGTTTTCTTATCAATGAAATTRATTTTCACCAGTCATTTTCTGTTCATGTATTTTTACTTTTACTTTGTTAGTTTTTTTCCCAAGTACTTCATAAACTTCTGAGTAACTCTAGTAAAAACCTTTACAGACACTGAACAGAAATCTGGAGTGGTAGTAGCTGAGAGTGAGCCCTAACTTATCCTCTGAGCACAACTTCAGTGTCCTGTCTGTTTTATAAAGAAACCTTTGATCAAACTGCAGCTGGTAAACATTTCAGCTCAACTCTAATCAAGATGGCCGCCGCAGCAGACTGCCTGTAAGAACGTGAAGCAGCTGCTGAGTTTGAATGAGGAGTGGTAGTAGCTGACAGTCATCCACAGCACTGAGCTCCTACATGTTGTGGTTTCACTGCTGTGGACACACAACAGCAGGGACGTCCTTCTGACAACGTTTGGAGGACGGGGTGGGGGTCTCACTGACAACCAGGGAGGACCTTGTTGCTATGGCAACTAATGAGCCCCACTGGAAAAGGGTCAAACATGTCGGAGACGAGGAACAGACGCTGAAACTGAAGCAGAAACATGAAGCCTCTCTGCAGAGCTGGTTTGTTTTCTACTGGTTTTTAAAAACACCAGCATCAAGTCAACAAAGATGTGATTATTCTGTGGTTAGTT